CTTCGAAGGGGGAGTCGGCGACGAGCTTCGAGGGGGGAGTCGGATCTGGAGCTTCGAGGGGGGAGTCAAATCTGGAGCTTCGAGGAGGGAGTCGGATCTGGAGGAGAGAGGGCGGAGTCAGAGGAGTTGGCGACGAGATTCGAGGGAGGAGTCGGATCTGGAGGAGAGAGGGAGGAGTCGGACCTGGAGGAATCGGATCTGGAAGAGAGAGGGAGGAGTCGGATCTGGAGAAGAGAGAGGAGTCGGATCTGGAGGATCTGATAGATGAAAACCCTAGCCCTAGCGCCCATTCTTACCTATTTATATGGATAACACTTGTAAATAAAAATTTGGGCTAGGCTTATAATATTTTGTATACTTGTAATATTTACCTTCTATTTCAACAATATACTTGTAATATTTTAAGGAATATTTGTAATATTTTGGGTATAGTTCTAACTTGTGAATGTATACTTGTAATTTTTAACTCTCGTTTTGCAAGATAGGCTTGTATTTTTATATGTTCAAGATGAAAATAATGAAAATTAAAATTTGGTATTATTTTAGATTGTTAGTTGAATTTTATAAAATTTTCTATATATAATAATAATTTTAAAAAAATTCCTTGCCGTATCCCCGTATCCTATTTTTTTGGATTTTGCCGTATCCCGTATCTGTGTCCGTGTCGTATCCGTGTCCCGTATCCGTATCCGTGCATCATAGTTGGTGAGTGATTTTAAACATGATTATTTACATTTTAGTATATTTATATTTTATTAAGTATGACTAGTTTACATTTTAGAATATTATTGTGTGTATATCACCATTCAGTAATCTCACTCTAACAATACTACTTGTCCCTGATATATCCCTGATATATCCCTGATATCCGTTATCCGATATGGATTTTGACTGTCTGATATTCCTAATAACTGATATTTAAAACCTTGGTCCATGAGTCCCGAGTTTTCTACGTTGTGCGTCCTTATGCGCGAAATGATTGGTTTGTTTGCAGTCAAATCAATTAATCTGTCTCTTATTAGTTGGATCTGCGAACTGCAATGAAAGTAGTAAATATCTTTCCCGAAGTTGTGTAAAGTCCTGATAACCGCCCGGATCTGTTGCTCCTAGCTCAACGCACCTCCAAATATCTCATGATCTCTAATCACTGAGGTCATGATACAAAGGTGTATTTAATGTTCTGCTTGCTAAGCACTTGTTCTGCTTAGCAGTTATCTCATTTGAAGCTAACTAAATAATAAGAACTCGGAACCTCATAGGGGAGACATACGAATTTTGCGTTAAGAGCATCCTAGAAGCTCTTTGTATTTGGATTATCCTCGTACTCAATATGATTGTTCCTCACTGCAATCCACCCAGTAAATCGCATTGAAGAATCTTGTCACTACCAGATCTAGTACTGATCAATCTTAAAATTTTGAGTCCGAGTTGAACCCAGTTCTACTCGGTTATTACCGTCTCAGTACTCACCAAAATCTCCTACAGGAGAAAATGGATCTTTCGACAGATGTATCTCCTTTACTCAGTACTGAACTAACGTCAGAGTAATTATTTTGTACCATATTTCTAGGAGAGATTATAACACTTTAATTACGGATACATTAAAGTATTTGTATTTACGTGGAGTGTGTTCTTCTTTGAAGAACATTCCATCTCATCAAGCCTTTTATACCGATAATAAAAATAAAATCCCAACCAAAGAGACGAAGGCCTAAAAGACCCCAACCACGGTGTTCAAAGATATTATTTTTAAAATTGTTATGAACCTTTTGAAAATGGAATATTAGATTTCTTAGAGATAGACTAGATTGGGTAGTAAAATCCTAGTACAATCTCTACCCGAAATCTCCCACTTGAAATAATTTATTGAATCTAATATGTGTCAGAGCATGTGGCATGACAACATAAACGATCAATTTGATAATTTTTTTTCAACTATCCTATTTAATTTTATTAGAGTTTTTCGTTTATCTTACAATTGGTATGTTCCCTAGACGCTTCCACTGGAACAATTACCCTTCAAAATCTCGAAGATTTTATTAGGATTTTCATAACCAAAATTTCTAAAGTATAAAAATAAGTTTTGTAAATTTTCAAAGTCCAAAATTATTTTTATAATTCAAAAACAACTTTATTATGAAATCTAGTGAGTTGCACATCAAAAATTTTTAAAATTTTTGAAGAAAATAATAAAAATAATTTCTAAAAGTTTCCTAAAAATTTCCATATAATTTTGTTATTTTTAAATAATATATATTTTAAAATAGTTTTTTGGAATTTTTAGAATATAAATAAAGCTAGAAAATATATATATTTTTTGTAGTTTTGCCCCTAAAGTTTTAGGATCCCTAGGGGTCTGTTTTGGGGGTGGTGGTAGTGTTGCCTAGCAACGCCACCCCAACCTCAGGTCGAGGTTCTACTGCGGGTCTCGCCTGAGTCATTGCCGACAACAGTGACTCAGCGTTATTGTTGCCCCTAAGGTAGCCCCTTAAAAGTTTTTTTTAAAAACAAAACCATCGCTCATCGCTGATAGTTGCAGCTAGAGGGCCTCCAGTGCCAGAGCCTACACTCTTATCCCGCCGCTATTAGCAGCAAGGTCTAGGGTTTTTGTAAATTTCTTTAAATTAGAAAAACAACAAAGTAATTTTTAATTTTTGAAAAATAAAAAAATTATGATATCATAGAAAAATATTTAATACTTCCCTGATTTATTAAAATTGACAAGTAGATCATAAAAGTTGAATTTTTACCGTGGATCTGATGTCCCGAATGTCAACAGTTGGATTTGTACACCAAAAAACTTAATATTTTAGTAAAATAAATTTATGTTCCATGGACCAACATCATCATCAAGATACTTCAGATCTAATGCAATAATATATAAAAATATATATATACAAATGCAATCAGATCTAAACCTTAAAAGAAAGATAAGATGCGAGCAACCCTAATCTCACTGTGATACCAATGTAAACTAAGCAAACTTGCATACAAATACATAAATTTCTTGCTTAGAGATTACATTCCCAGGATCTTTTAAAAGGATCGCCACGCATCTAATCTTCATCTTCCTACAACGGCTGGAGGGCGACTACACCGATGTGGCGAGAAGTCTCCACATATCACATAAATCACAGAATTGATGAAGAGGAAGGATATGACATTAGTGTATTTTTTTCTCTCTTTAATTTCTACACGAGAGAGAGTGTGTGTATAGTAGAGGACAAAACCCTAACCCTTTAGGATTAGGAGCCGGTTCACTAAATGACTGGTTTGAGCGCACTTAAATTCACCCATTCAATTGGGCGGACCCGCCAAATAATAACAAAAAGGAAAAGGAAGAGGTAGCAATTTGAAGAGAGAAAAAGAACATGGGAGAAAGCTGGTTAGGGTTAGGGATTCTGGTCTTATACCAAAGAAGCTAATAATATGCAACCCAAGCTTTTAAAATTTTCAAAATCAGTCAATTTGCATAATCTGAAGTTTACTAAACCATATATAGACTTTTTATATTTTGAGTGTTAAATAACCTCAACACCACTAAACTCAAAATCAAATATCAACTACACTCAAATCAAATATCAACTAAACTCAAATAAAATAAGAACTTAACTCAAATGAAATAACTAAATCTAAACAATTTCTCTTTCAGTAAGACCTTTTTCGAGTAAGTCTTGAAGGTAGGATGCAATCAAATACCTATATGCTCCAAAATTTATATCCTCTCATCCTAAATTTATATGATGAAAATGCGCAGTCTTGGAATGTATAGAACCCGCTCATATAAGTGTCTTGCACTCTCGCTTTAACCTTCTGCTGCAGGTCTGGGGGCGTGACACAAAATGTTTATGTTCCCACAAATTTGAGATTTATGATGATGACAATATGTAGTAGAAAATATACCTTGTCAAGTTCTATTGACCTCCCTCTCTCTCCCTCCTTTCTGGCTACACTTTGTGCCATGTACCATTATCAGACATATATCTTTCTTTTGTTGTTATCTTACCATTATTTGTCAAATTGTCTAGATGATACTCATCTTTGTTGTCTTTATGCGGCTCTGTCAAACTTGTCAAATACTGAAACTCTCTTTTTTATTCCTCAAGTAGTCTCTTTTTTATTCCTCAAGTAGCCCCCAGGATGCACTGCTAGTGGTAGTTGATGCACTGCTAGTGGTAGTTTGGCTATTGCACAATAAAGCTCTCTGACTTACTTTTTCACACTTGGTGGCATCAACAGAATCTGTATAGCCACCAAGAGAGAGAGAGAGAGAGAGAGAGAGAGAGAGAGACACCGCCATGCGCTGCTAGTGGTAGTTTCGCCATTGCACAATAAAGCTCTCTGACCTACTTTTTCACACATGGTGGCATCAACGGAATCTGTATAGCCACCGTCATGCACTGCTAGTGGTAGTTTGGCTATTGCACAATAAAGCTCTCTGACCTACTTTTTCACACATGGTGGCATCAACGGAATCTGTATAGTCTCTTGGTAAGAGACGTCTTGTGGGGATATTCTATTTAAACTTTTCTATATACACCCTTCATAGATAATGGTTGTCCCCATTTTAATATAAATTCCTGTCCAAAAACATTTTGAAGTAGCTTTAAGTAATTTATATTGGTGATTGAATTTTCCTCTATTAGTTGTATCTTTCAAAAGTTTGATACACAAGAAATTTTTTTAAGGAAAAACACCTATATTAAGGTAAAAGTATCTGTCAGTGATCTTTTTGCATCGTTTACTAATCAATTTAGTGATTTAGGATCTATATGGTTTATTTCTATCTGCACCCCAATATTTTTCTTTGTTTAGAGAATCTATCCTTATTTCTGAATTTTTAAGATAGGAGTGTGTAGATTGCTGTTTTTTAATTTAATTAAACGTCAAAAGACATATATCTATCATACTTTGATATGTTACTTCAAAATGATGAAACTCTGTTTATCTATCTACTGATTTTTGCTATCATAGTCTCATTCATAACTTTTTTTTCTTAGCAGGGTTTGCTTCATTACTATATTTGAATCTTAGTAGATGTTGTATATCGGATGATGGCTGCGAGAGGTTTTCTGGTTAGTTTATAACCCTGTGTTAAACTTCATTTGTATCCACTGTCCATTGATACTTATTTATTAGTCCATTGTCCAATGTCAACATATTGAAAACTTTGAGGTGGGAGTGTTTCATAATTCAATGGAGTATGGGGTTGATGATCTTATCTCTGGTAAACTTTTATTCTAGAAACGTGTCCTCATTCTGGGGGCAAACACGTCCAAGAGATAATCAATTACACATGCTATCACGGGATTTTGTATGTGCTTGTATGGTGTGAAATTTATGATAGAGATACTAATAATGTGTCATAATACATCCTTGCGTTCTCACATATTACACATGGATACATGGTATCCATAAATTTTCTCTTCATGTTTATGAAGGCAAGAATAGGGATTGACTTTTCACATGTGGAAGCACTACAACATCGTGTTTCCTTATAAAATATTATTGATAATGATAGATTCTGTCTAAAATTTGATGTTAACATTTTAATGTTATCTATGTATTCACTTCCATGTCTGTTTGGCTGTGATTTGTTGTGCTTGTATGCCTCACTATAGATTAGTGTTTTACTTATGATGCTCATGACTACTGCAAAATGATTGTTTATACGCATGAGAAATCTAACCTTGATTCTCGTAAGTTTGCTATTCACCTTTCATCCTACTCTTTCTTGTGTAATGAGCATTAAAGAGATCTGCATTCAAATGCTACTTGAACAACTATGATCTTAGCATTAAACCTGAAGGTGGGAAGAACAACACATATTATGAGAAAAAAACCATCTTAGCAGCCTCTGTCCTAGGTTAGCTATTAATACTTTAGGACCAGGTTAGGCATTGAATGATTTTTCTGGCGGTAAGAATCTCAAATTTAGTGTTCGTCCAGGAAGGCGTTTCTGCTCTTGTATATCACTATACAAGCTTAGGTTTTTTTAGGTGAATATATGAATAGTTAAAAAAATTGAAGATCTTCCTAATTATGATATGAGAAGTTATGTTTCCCATGCTTTAAAAGGTCCCACGTAGCGCCTCTTATAGGAGTAGTAATAAAACCTTCACTTGTCCTATTTGGATCCTTACCATTAATATTAACCATTATTTTTCTATATACATTCCTCTTGAGCTATGTTACCCCGACACGGCAAACTAAGTCCCGTACCCGTGTCGGGTACGTTTTGGGTGCGGATCCGCACCCAAACGGCAGGGACACAGTGATTTCACAAGAGCGAGGGAAAAAAAGTTGCGAACTTGAAAAAAAAAGTTATGAACCTTATAACTCATCAACGGAAGCGACGACAGATTCTAGATCTCAAGGCGTCGGGTCAATTGCAGCTCCTCGACGACGAATCAGCGCCTCGACGACGAGATCAGCGCCTCAGCTCGAAGACAGGTTTGATTTTTAGGGTTTTGTTTTTGTTGTTTCTCCTTTTTCTCCTTTTTCCTCGACGACAAGATCAGCGCCTCTTCTTTTTCTCCTTTTTCCTCGACGAAGAAAGTTAGGGCTGGTTCCAGGCGCCATCTTCCAGCCATCATGCGTTTTTTCTCGAGAGAGGACGAAGAGGAGAGAAAGGGCGGCGGAAGAATTAGGGCTGGGAGAGAACGAATGGGAGAGAACGAAGAGGAGAGAGAGGGCGGCGGAAGAATTAGGGCTGAGAGAACTTGGTCTTCTTTTTTTTCCCTTTATATACTATGTGGTAATATTTCCATAAACCCCTCATCAATTCTTTTTTTGCAGCAAGCCCCTTAACAAATACAAATATGTTATTATAGTTACTATTTTCTTTTGTTGCATAAATGTCCTCTTGCAAACTCATCTACAAATTAATATAGTTAATTCAATTGTTAGGATATCTATTTAAATAGTTACTAATTACTATAGTTTCTTATTTATAATCTCCACTTTATATAACAAAAAATATAAAAAAATAATAGGTATTTAATTCAATATTGATCTAAATTGAACTATTTTATATATATATAGCCGTGTCCCCGTACCCTACTTTTTACAAATTTGCCGTGTCCCGTACCAGTACCCGTACCCGCACCCGTACCCGTACCCGTACCTAGGCAACATAGCTCTTGAGCAAGTTTGCAATATAGGTTATGCAACAAGCATTTCCCAGCCTTTCAATGTTGAACCGAATAAGTTCTGCTACAAGGACCCCTGGCGTAGAGATTGCTTTTAATGATGATTGTTTGCATCTTTCTACTACTACCTACTACCTTAATGAAATTTCAAGCTATGTATTGCATAAATGGATACATCATGCATCCGACTTCTTTTAACCAAGTTCGCAATGAATTATTCAGTTGAAGAAGACACAAGATACTAATACGGTATCATCTATACTGTTGTACACAGTTTATATACCACTGAATGTGTATAAGCCACTGATCAATATTAGGATACAAGATGCATACACATGATTATGGTAAAAAAAGTCCTGCTACATCAGATGCCTAGATGGAAACTTTGATATTATCCCAGTGTCACCTGTGCACATAGTTCATATATTGGTCAATTTGAATAAGCCACTAATCAGTGTCTGGATGCAAGATGCATATACATGATTTTAGTTAAAATTTTGGGTTTTTCGATAGAAACCACTTCCTTCTAAGAAACCATCTTTGATTTTGAATATACATAAACTACCTTTACAACGTTTTTTATTTTATTTTATTTTTTCAAGCCATCTACGCTCTTATTTTTTTGACAACTAAACCTAGCTAACCTCTATCAAGGGTCATCTCTCTAGTATGCTTGGTATTTAACAACTAATTATTATAGCAAATTTGAAAAAAAAATATTGACTTAAAAGTGAGTTCGAGTGGTTGATTGCAACAAGAAACATTTTAAAGGTGGGATCACATGCGCAAAGTATCTTAAATGTGTTTTTTTGTAGAATGACCATATTTTAAATGTGGTTTCTATGAAAAAGCCTAATTTTTTTTTGGGAACTTAAAAAGTTTTGAAATGGTAATGAAATTTGGTAATTAACTCATAAATTGAACATAGCATGTTCCTGTTCTTACCATTGCATTCATGAATTTTCTGAAAATCTTTTCTGATATACTCGGAAATTGAGCATATTTTCATATAAACCCCGAAAATATTCTACTTTGGAATAACCCACAAAAACTTTCAACTTAAATCAACAAAGTCTATTAACATTATAGCAGTGTTGTCAATGCGTGAGGTGTAATGCGTGGTGCAAAGTATCTTTATGATTACATGCGCAAGGCGCAACGCGATTGGTGCTCCTGAGTGATGAGAGGTGCACACCGCATGCTTATTTTTCAAGATAGATAATCAAGCATGAAAAAAATTGTTTACGAATTCATGTGAAAAATATGTCAGGATAAATAATATCTTAGTACAAAATCACAATAAGGTCTTAATATCTAATGCTAACACCCAATGTAGTAGCAAGGTTCATGATATTTCAAATCAAATGTGAGATCAAGACTAGTATCCAAGCAAAAGATTAGTTATGATCCTCAATTGAAGGCTACTAAAAAGGCCTAATGAATTTATTTTGCTTTTTGGGATATATTATCGAGTATAAAGACTTAATTGAAGTGTTAACAAATAAAAATATGAGGATATGTACTACATGCACCTTGCGCAAGGATGCATGTGAGGCGCAAAAGGCGTTACTACATTAGATGCCGGGCGCTTCACCACCACCCCGCACGCAAAGCGCATGAGGCATGCCTTTGAAAACACTATATTATAGTATTGTTTAAAAAATTATGTTCATGAAATATTTTCACCACTACCTTATTTTGATATTAACTATTTGTATTCAGTAAAATGTCTTATGTATCTATCTTTCCTCTTCCAACCCATTCTGTAAAGTGTAAACAAATGTCCAATGTCATCGCTGACAAGGATGACCCCTTTAACCCCCCACCCCCCCCCCCCACAAAAAAAAAAAAAAAAAACGTTCACGCCTGTATTTGTTCCTCTCTTTCCTTTTCTAATATTTCTGCTGAGACCAATCTTCCGTGCCATTGTCTCTTACCACTTTTCATCTATATGATGTATAATACTAGAAACTCTACTCCACTACTTAAATCTAATTACATTTGTCAGAATTTGGCAATTTGGTATCACCATGGAGAATTTTTGATGATCGAAGAATTAGGCGCTTGGTCGATCATCTTTTAGCCTTCGACACCAGATGTAAACAAATGGTGAAGGTTTTTTAAGGAAATGTTTTTTGGATAATTTAGAATTCTAGCAATATTTTTGCATGTCTTTTCGGATTAAGATCTACTTGAGTGGAAATTATATATGTGCGTGTGCGTATATCTATAATTCTTTTTTGTTCTTTAGGTTGTGAAGGTCTCAAGGCTATATATGTACTAAATATATATGATTAGAAATGAATGCATTCATCGTAAATTAGTTGTTTCTGCTATTATGAATAAAATGGTGGATAATTGATTGAGATGGTTTAGTAATGTACAATAGACACTAATGCACTAGTTAGGCTAAGTTAAGATTATAGTTAATTGGGCAAAGAGGTTAAGAGGTAGACTTAGAAGAACTTTGTTGGAAGCAATTAAGAAGAATGCAATAATGGAGGAGATATACCCAAACTAGAACTGAATGGAAGAATAAGATTCATGTAGGCAACACCAAACATTCGGGATAAGGACTTTGCTATTGTTCTTCTTTGTTAAGAGGTGAGGGTGCATAAATATGGCCAGTTAGCAAATATCTAGTCACAAACGTTAAATAGAGTCGACTGAATTAACTTGCAACCTACTTTCAGATTAATTTTTTTTTCTGGTTATGGTAGCTGAAGAAAATTGTATGAATTTACACTCCAATGAAGCCTAAATACTCTGTTAAATGGCAATCTAATTTTAGCAGATGCATTGCTTTTGAGTTGTGTGGCATCGAGCATCATGAGACTACTCAATTTCAAAGTGGGAACCTCAAAAGTTTGGACTGATGCAATGTCGATTATGTTTGGTTAGAAAATTTGAAAAATATTTTTCATAAATATGATTTAGTTTCTTCATAAGTTGTAGATACTTAGCCAAAGCTAGCATATAACGTATAGAATATAAAATTTCTTTGTCTTATACAGCACTATTGTTCAGAGTTTTCTATTTCACTTTGTTTTCTTGAATTTTGTTTAAGGTTGGTATATGCATTTGTTTTTCATGAAATTGAATGTACATTGTGCTTTTTATAGTTTAAATGAAGGAAACATTCTTTCACAGGTCTAGGAAAGTTAAAAATTCTAAACCTGGGGTTCAATCCCATCACGGACAAATGTTTGGCGCATCTGAAGGGTGAGTTTACACCTTCTCTTATTCATTGCATGTTTACAATTTTTATATATCTCTAGTGAATGGAGCAGATTTGAGTTTCCGATGGCAATAATATAGTTACCTGTACAGTCATCAGCTAAATTTTCACATTAGAAACTGAAGGACTACTTTCTGGCGGTGCTATTTATTTGGTAATACAATAATATTCCTGATCAGGAATATTTAGCCTCAGCCCTGATTCAAATTCTAAAGGAAAATATTAAAGCATAAATACGAAAGGAGTCATTAGATCTTTTTATATTTTTTTGTCGTCAGATTTTCATTTTGGTCAGATAATAATTTTGTCTACCTTGCAGATCTAATTAATCTGGAGAGCTTAAACTTGGATTCTTGCAAGATTGGTGATGGAGGTTTATTAAACTTGAAAGGTGACTTTTTAAGACCACTTCTTTGACACTGAATTTGATCTTGTATAGAGACTTGTACTAAATGGTTGATAAGATATATTTTATGTACCACATTTACTTAATGTAGGTTTCTTTCTACTGCCTACCCATTAGATACATGATTTCTTGCACACCAGTATTCATTCATGATTTTCTGATAAGATAAACATGTATACGCCATAATCATCACAGAGATTCCTTCCTATGTTTAGGCTTTTGCACCAAATTGATAAAAACTATGCTTATCGTTGCAGTTGTCAAATGAATAGAATGCTACTTTTGAGCATTCTACTAGTCATTCAAAATTTGACTGATTTAAGGGTTTTAATGTAAATGTTCTAACCTGATTACCATACATTGTACAGAATCTCACATTATGCGCATTATCTAATTCATCAGCTTTAACATCAAAAGGAATTTAAATATGTCACTACATGTGAATTTTTATTGATGTCCACTGTTTTTCAGGCCTTCTTCATTTGAAAAGCTTAGAGTTGTCAGACACGGAAGTCGGAAATAGTGGGCTTCGTCATCTTTCTGGTTAGGTCTCCAACTTCTCCATATGTCATGGGAGCATGCTCTAATAATCTCCCAGAAGTCGTCATCATCATCACTATCATCATAATCCTCATCATTTATGAATCTTCTCTTCATTTTTATCTGAAGTATACTTACTATTTAAACTATGCTTTATGGTAAATGTGTTCTGTTATTGAAATGCATGCTTTTGGATTTCACTACATATATTTCAACTTTCCCTTTTGGTTAGTAAATATATTTCTAGTATTCTAATATATTTGAAAATACATCTCAGGTGGTGATTGTACGATAGGGAGCCAAGCATGTTGTTAGTTGGCCTAGAAATCATCTCTCCTATTTGGAAGGGATTTGTCGCAATAGGGTTTTTTAGGAGTCCTATTGAGAAGGATCTCGTAGGCAATAGAAACTCTATTTGAATAGGGATTTAGGAATCTTTATTGTAATGAATTTAACTCTATTTAAGGAGTTGAGTTCTCAGATATAGGCCACGAGAAAAATTGAGATAAAGAGAGTATCTGAAGAGAGAATCCATAGATCAAATTGATAGGAAAGTTTTTTATCTTCTGAGAGAGTGTCTGAGAGATCATCATCAATCTCATCTTTGTGAGTTGGAATCTCTCTTCTGATTTGGTGAAAGTTTATTTGCTCCTGCCCATGGACGTAGGACTTGCTCCGAACCACGTAAATCCTTGTGTTTGTGCTTGTGATTTTATTTTTGTTGTTCTTTTGTAATCTTGATTTTTTTCCGTGTTTTGCGCTACACATTACTGATAATAGGGTAAGAATCTTCATTATGTCAATCAGGATCATATGTCTCTTACACCTGCATAGGATATTTGAACATAAATCAATTCAAAACATGGATTTAGCATTGCAATTTAGATTTTCATAACCAAAACGAGTGGAAAGCTACATTTATGCAGAATCAGCACTTGTGTATTAAATGTTTGTGTTAGTTAAATTTTTCTGAATTTTTTCCTGGCTCTCTAATGTTCTGATAAAAAGGGAAAACAAATTTGGATGTAGGATAAGGTTATTGCCCTCTTTGTTGTGATAGTTGAATATGTGGAAATGCATATATTCTTCTATACACAAATGAGTATTTCACATGTAAACACTCCTCATGATGAGGTTTGTGAGGAAGCCCTGATGAGCCAGCGTGTGTGATTCACAATATAACACAATAAGCCTTTATCCCATTTTTTAGTTGGCTACAATATGGATGCATGGATTATTTATTTATTTATTTGGAACTTCTCAATCTCTCACTCTTGGTCTAATTTGGATGTGGAAATCAAGATGAATCATGTAGAACATGCCTGGATTTTCAATTATTGAAATCTAGCAAAGCTTAATTTGAGATTCGTTCCCAAGGTAGGTCGTTCATGTATGGACTTGATCTTTTAGGAATTTCCACCAAATGAGTTATGTAAGAATTTCAGATGGACTATTTCGAGAAGGATCTGTTCCTGATTTACACTCCTAGTCTTATGAATGAAGGTCAAGTGCCTTGGAATTTTTTTTAGCAGTACATGAAGTGGTTCTAAACAAAACTTTATTTCATTCCTCAAAATGAAACCATCTTACATGACAAATGGTATGCAAGGTGCGTGATCACATCTCAGACTAAATAAGACGTGTAGATTGAAATGAGTCGTGCAAATAAAACCATAGGATTGTCCATGATCAAGTTCTTAGAGTGATACGAGTCGCCGTGCGAGTACCTTTAATCGCAGAATTATCAAAGGTGGATTGAGAAGAAAATAATAAGAACACAAGAACAATTCAGTGGTAGTGAAGGAAAATACCTTCTCTAGATTATGAGAATAAAATAACTTACAATCTCTCACAATTTCACTAGAATTGAAGAACAATCTCTCTCAATTCTCCCAATACAATCTAATCTCTCCTGATTGTTTTAAAATCCTAAAATAATCCTTTTTATATGTGGCACGTGGATGGCAAAGTCGTAAATAACCAAGCCCAAATCCCACATAAATTCGTGCAGACAGAAACCCAAACGAACCAGGAAAGCATCGATGAGTCGACTCACGTGCATGTATGAGTCGATTCATGTCATATGGGTCTACTCATGACAGTCATGAGTCGACTGGTCAGAAACTATGTCAACACCTGCTGGGCTTCGTGAGTCGACTCATACAGTGATGAGTTGACTGGTCAGAGACTTGACAAAATGGTTGAGTTTCATGAGTCGACTTATGACAGGCATGAGTCGACTCAACTTGATGAGTCGACTCATGACTGTTATGAGTCGACTCACGGGCTGAAAACTGGATGCTTCGATTCTTCGATTCGTCGTCTCGTTCCACGCTTCAACCTGCGTTTCACTGTGCTGTTTTACACCTCTATTCTTAAGCTATCATGAGAATCATCTATCCTTAAGCTCCCATAAGGATCGCTAAGTTCCGAAGAGAAGATACACCCGTATCATGGGTCCTTCCTTTAGGAACTTGAAGTCCCGTTCAAGTTACAACTTCAGCTGAGGAAACTCGCGAGCTCCTCCTTCCCTGTTGAACCACTTAGCCTTGCTAGGAACCTGACCTTGACGTCCAATGAGAAACGACTCATTCGTCCCCCGCCTCGTCGTGGTCATCTTTCGCTCCAAAATGCAATCTTCTTTCAGCGGCTCTTTTCTATCAAACCACAAGTCTTCAACATGCGGTAAGATCATATTGTCGTCACCTTCATCATCCAGCAATGGAGGCTCGAACAACTTCAAATACTCGGTATTGATCACCGAATACATGCCTAAGTAAGATGACAAATCCAGCCTGAAAACGTTATCATCAATCTGATCGAGAATCCGAAACGGACCATATCGTATAGGTTTTAACTTCTTCCCTTCTTCCTTCAGCCTCTCCTTTCTCAATTTCAGTCATATCATGTCGCCTATGCCAAAGTTACAAGGAACCCGATGCTGATCATGCTTCGTCTTGTACTTGGCTTGTGATTTCTTCAATTGTGCTTCTACCGTGGTATGAATATATATTCCATCTTCTTCAAAAATCGCTGAGCTCGTTGTCTTTTACTCCCTTCCTTGTCGTCGGCTGTAGCTTCACTTGAAAACATGAGATCAAACGGACTCGGAGGTAAAAACCCATAACAAGTCTCAAACGGTGATTTCCTCGAAGATCCATGAATAGCCCGATTAAACACAAACTGAAGATATGGTAAACTCTCATCCTAAGTCTTGGGATGTCTGGAATTGTATCCTCTCAACATGTGCATCATAGTCCGATTAACCACTTTTGCTTGTCCGTCTGTGTGGATGGAATGCCGTGCTCTTCTTCAATCTAGTGTCCATCAAGTTTCACAAAGAATCCCAAAAATATCCAAAAAACCGGCTATCTCGATCTGAAATAATCGAATTCGGCAACCCAAAGTGCTTCCACACATGCGCGCACCCTCACGGTCTTTGTTATAAGGAATCAGATCACCATCTTGCTGAACCGTCCAACATACGAACAAATAATCATGTCCTCGTTTGGTCGTCGGCAATCCTCCTAAGAAATCCATAGAAATACTCTCTCACGGTCTCAAAGGTACCGACAATGCTAGATACAATCCTCGTTTCTTATTGGAAGGTTTCAAAATACAACATAGCTTACACCCTCTAACATACTTAGTGACATCCTCTTAACATTTTTGATCAAAAAACATGGCGTCGTAGATTGAGAAGCGTCTTCTGAATCCCAAAATGACCTTACACACGTGATGTATGTGCTTCTCGAATTCACTGTAATCGGTCGCCGTCCTCCGGAATGCAAAGCGACGTCTCACGATACAACAAACCATCCTCACCAATCTCATACTCCCCCTTTCGACCGGTCGTCGCCCGCTCAAACACACTGCTGAAATCTCTGCTGAATGTGTACATCTGCACATACTTCGAAGGAACCAAGGGCTGAATGCGCGTCGCCATCAAAAGTGCCCTCACTGGTGGGCGAGATAACATATCGGCTAACTTGTTCGTCGTCCCCTTCTTGTACCTAATAATGATGTTGAGCGTCATCAAATAAGACATCCACTTCATGTGTCGTGCCTGCTGTAGCTTCGTCTGGACATGTAGAAATTCTAATGGTTTGTGATATGAGTGCACAATCACCTCCTTACCCAACAAATACACCCTCCAATGTTTGATCGCTTGATAAAGTGCATAGAACTTCTTGTCATAGGTGGGGTAGTTTTGAATAGCATCCGTAAACATCTCTGAATGGTACTCCACCGGCTTACCATCCTGAATCAACACAACGGCCATAGCATAACTAAAAACGTCGGTCTCCACCTCGAAGGTCCTTTGCAAATTCGACAAAGCTAACATCAGTGCCTCCTAGATCTTCTTTAGTAGCTAAAAAGCTTCCTCATGCGCCCTACCCCACACGAACTGAACCTTCGCCTTCGTAAGGCTATGCAAAAGTGCCGTATAAGTTGAAAAATATCGAATGAACTTGCACAAGTATTGACAAACCCCTATGAAGCTTCTCACCTCCGTCACTGTCCTAGGTGTCGGTCATTTTGTGATCACCGTCACCTTACTTGGATCTATCCTTCGCTGGCTCTTCCCCACGATGAAGCCGAGATGCACCAACTCGTCCTTCCCAAACTCGCATTTCCTCCCATTGAGCTTCAGCTGTCCGTTCTGTAACACTTCAAACACTCTCAACATGAACAAGATGTTCCTCCTAGGTCCTGTTCACCAAGATATCATCGAGGTAAACTATCACAAAGTCCTTTATAAAGGGTCGTAACAAATCATTCATAAGCCTCATAAAGGTAGTCGGAGCGTTGCACAAACCAAACGGCATCACCAACCACTCGAATAGGCCCTGTTTGGTCTTGAACGCAGTCTTCCAAGTGTCATCCTCCCGAATCCTCACCTGATGGTAGCCAGACTTCAAATCCAACTTCGTGAAGAACCTTGTTCCCTCCAGCTGATCCATGAGATCGTCAATCCGTGGTAATGCGTAGCGATTCTTAATGGTTATCTTGTTGAGTATCCGGTAATCCACGCACATGCGTCAACCTCCATCATTTTTGGGCACCAACAACAATACTAGAGACCCGTAAGGGGAACAACACCAACAATACTAGAGACCCGTAAGGGGACCAACTCGGCACAATCACTCCTGTCTCCAAAAGCTCCTGAACCCGCCTCTTGATCTTCTCAGACTCCTCTACAGATGTGCGGTATAGATCTATATTCGGCAAAGAACTCTCGTCGGTCAACATAATCTCATGCTTCGTATCCCGTCGTGGTGGTAGTCCCGTGATCTCTGAAAACAAGTCCATGTACTTGGCCTTCAACCTGTCAAGCTTACTCTCCTAAAACTTGCTCAATGTAGTCAAGCACACCCTACTCAGCTGCTCCTTATAAGGCTTAATGACTAACAATATGAACCTCTTGCTTGCATTCATTAGCCTCTTCGTCTGAGTCATTGTCACCAAACTTGTCTCCTGTGGAAGAGATGCCGAACGGAAGATGAATTGCTCGTCATCTTTGGTGAACGTATACTTTTGGGTTCGTCTATCGTAGACCGTAAACCTATCCCATAAATAAGGATTGCGCAGTATTACTTGGTAAACATCCAACGGAACGACGTCGCATGTGACCTCGTCAATATACGACTCGTGGAGCGCAAATCTGAAAGTGTATTGGTTGACCACACTCAATTCTGCCTCCTTCTGAATCCACCCTAAAGGATAGGGATTCGGATGTTTAACCGTCTTCAATCTCAGCTTCTGAACAAAGGCCTCAGATATTAAATTCTTCTGGCTCCCTGGATCCACTATGGTATCAATTAAACTGGTTTTGATCTGCAATTTCAAAACAAAAAGCTACTCCCTGAATATCAGATATTCAGGGCCTCAGATATCAAAATTTTCTAAACCAAGGCCTCAGATATCAAATTCTTCTGGCTTCCTGGATCCACTATGGCATCAACTAAACTAATATTGATCTGTAATTTCAAAACAAAGAGCTGCTCCCTTGGGTCTTCATCCTCCGTCGTGTTCTGCTTCCCCGTCATAAGGTTGAGACTGCTATTTGGTGCTGTCGTCCCGGGAACTTCCTTCGGACCCTGCGCTACCACGTATGTTTTCTTCTCTTTTTCTTCAATCCCTTCGGCTTCAGATGATGATACTTCTCCCAGCAACGATCAGCTACGTGTCCTGTCTGTTTGCAGTGATTGCATGTCAATCCTGCCTTTCTCGAGTCACCCTTCTTCTTCTCTTCCTTAGGTTGAGAGCCACTAGACTTGCCTCCCGTTTGTTTGGAGTCCCCCTTCGTTTCGTTGCCCTTTTTTTGCTGTCCTCAATGGCAATAGCTTTCACACTCGCCTTTGCAATGGACTCAACTGTGAAAAGCCTCATCTCCTTTCGGATATATTCGTTCAGATCCGTCATATACTTCATAAAAATAGGATATTCCTCCATTGCGATGTTGAGGACCATCGCCTATTGCTGGAACTCCGTTGTATACTCTTGAACGGTCTGGTTGAACCGTTGTTCCTCCATTGCGATGTTGAGGACCATCGCCTATTGCTGGAACTCCGTTGTATACTCTTGAACGGTCTGGTTGAACCGTTGGCGCAACCCGTACCACTTGTACCAACGTTCTTCGAGGAACCTTACCGGATAAAATTGTTTCCTAAGTAGTTTCTTGAACTTGTTCCACGATACCGTCTTCTTCTCCTGCTTGCAATAGGATTTTTACCATGTTAATGCATGTCCTGAAAGCTTCAAAGTCGCGAACACGAGCTTCTCATTGGATGAATATCCGTAGAGTGAAATAGGTCTCCATCCGCTTGATCCAATCATCAAGCCTCTCGACGTTGACACTCCCGTCATAAACATGAATCTTCACTTTGAAGTCTATCTTCAAATTCTGGTAAGAATCCTTACTCCCTTGGTGTGAAACAGACTTAACAATACGGTCCTCCTCATCTGAATCAGAATCCTCATCTTCTCCATCGGACTCCACAAGTTTCTTCTTGTCTTTCGAAGATTCCTCCTTGTTTCTTTTGTCTTGGACAAGATTGACGAGTTGCACGAGGGTCGAACCCATTGTCTCCATCTGCTTCTCTAATGCATCTAGCCTTGCTGAACTGTCTTCTTTAGTCATCTTCTTTCTTAATTTCTGGACTCTTTTCAATGAAATAAGGATCTAGCCTAGCTTCTTGTATTACGATCGAGTCAGGACCATACACAGGATGCCCCCTTCACAGGATCTGATCGTTCTGATACCAACTTGATATGAGTCGCCGTGCGACCTTTGATCGCGGAATTATCAAAGGTGGGTTGAGAAGAAAATAACAAGAACACAAGAACAATTCAGTGGTGGCGAAGGAAAATACGTTTTCTAGATTATGAGAACAAAATAACTTACAATCTCTCACAATCTCACTAGAATTGAAGAACAATCTCTCTCAATTCTCCCAATACAATCTAATCTCTCCTGATTGTTTTAAAACCCTAAAACAATCCCTTTTATATGTGGAACAACGTGGATGGCAAAGTCGTAAATAACCAAGTCCAAACCTCACAAAAATTCGTGCAGACAGAAACCCAAACGAACCAGGAAACCATCGACGAGTCGACTCACGTGCATGTATGAGTCGACTTATGTCATACGGGTCGACTCATGACAGCCATGAGTCGAGTGGTCAGAAACTATGTCAACACCTGCTGGGCTTCGTGAGTTGACTCATGACACATGGGTCGACTCATACAGTGATGAGTTAACTGGTCAGAGACTTTTGACAAAACGGCTGAGTTTCATGAGTCGACTTATGACAGGCATGAGTCAACTCGAGTTTCATGAGTCGACTTATGACAGGCATGAGTCAACTCAACCTGATGAGTCGACTCATGACTGTTATTAGTAGACTCACGGGCTGAAAACTGGATTCTTCGATTCGTTGTCTCATTCCACGCTTCAACCTGCGTTCCACCATGCTGTTTTACACCTCTATCCTCAAGCTCACATGAGGATCGCTAAGTTCTGAAGAGAAGATACACCCGTATCATAGAGAGCTGATTTTTATGGAATGATCCTAAAATATTATCTCTCTCACTCTTTTTATATATTGTTATATTATCTTATATATTATTCATGTGTATGTCAATAATACATAATTGATTACATAGGAGAAAAATCTTTTTATGGTTGCAAAAGATTTAAGTCACCACTAAATTTGATGGTAAAAAATCATTCATTTTAACCTTTACAATTTGGAGCATATATTCACAAAAAATCTCGTGATTTACTTGCTCTTTGCCTATGGATTAGAGGTTAGAAATGTTCCATTATTAAAGTAAAATCATTAAATTTGCAACTACCCAACCAAAGTGGAACTAGCAAGTAAATCATGTGATTTATGGTGTAGTATCCTTTATATTACGGTTACTACCCACCATCAGAGTAAAAGTGAAATAGTAAGTGAATTTTTAGATTTCGTACGCCAAGATAAAAATAGTGTTGATGATCTACCTGATGATGAAAGTGGACTTTTTTCTCATTGGTACTCTATTGCAGTTTCTGTCCGCTAATCTACTTTAAGTATATCTATGAGTCTGGTGTGTGTGTTTAAGTCAGTGTCCATGTGACGTAGATTTCTCTGGACATCTTTGGAACTGAGATTTTTCATTCAAATTCAATGCTAAGTTATTCAAATTAAGATCTTATGTTAAAGTTGATTTAGATCACTTAAATTGTTAAAACAAAAACAACTAAATTTGTACTTTTTTTCTTACGGATAATCGATGGCTGGAAGTTTTTATGCCTTTTAGTATACTACTGTTGACCCAACCATTTGAGCATGTTGTAAAAACTCATAATTTTCTATTAGGTTTCATATATTGGAGATTGTTTAACTAAGCAGTTCATAATTTATGTTTGTTCATTTTGTATCCACCTGGTATTGAAGGGATTTTTTTTAAAACACTTAGTTTTTTTATTTTTATTTACTTTAAATGATGTAGATCAACTTGAGTAGACTGGATGTTCACATAGATTTCCTTACTAGTAAATCACCAAATCTAGATAAATCTTACTTGGATAGCTTTTAGTTACCTAAATAGCTAGAGCTACCAAGAGATAAATGAGTGGCAAGGGCCCATCCTGCACATCAGAGTAGGTAGACCCATTGTTTTAAATATCCCTGACATGGTCCGAAATATCGCCTAATATATCCTTTTATAGGGCTTTCTGCAACCGATATAGTTTCTAGATATCCTGCACCGTTTTTTGGCTGTTTTGGGCGATATGTCCTCGGTATGGCCGATATATCAACCAATATGTTAGCTGATATATCCATTTATACAGCTTGTTACAAAATAATATACCGCATTTGGCAATTTTAGAGCTAGATATCATGATTTTCCCATTATATCAAATGACATTTTGGCCTATAAAAATTAGACGAAATGTTGCAACGTTGATTTGTACTTTTGTTTGTTTTACAAGGTTGATTAGTGATACTAAACATGTATTATTTATATTTCGTATTCTTAGATTTCATTAACTATGTTGAGATTACATTTTAGTGCATTATATTATATATGCAAACATCTGTTATGACATTATGATATTTACCATTCCCGATACTTCTCCGACATAGCGATAGAATTTTGGTCATCTGATATTTCCCCGATATCCGATATTTAAAACCTTGGGTGGACCTCACTCACTAGTTCTATCTGTTGATAGCTCATATCTAATACCTAGTAGTTATCTATATAATAAAGGATTTTGAGGCAAATTTTCTGCATTATAATTCGATATTGCGATCTACTGTTATATCTACTTCATTAAAATTCATTTACATGATTTAAAGTAACTCTAAATAAACAACCAAGTATTTTGAAATGCTCGTGCATTCAGCAAGCATAAGTTGAGGCTTATATTCTTGAAGAAATTTTGATTCGAACATTTCATCTTATAGAAATTCCTTCTAGCGAACTTGTCTTATCTTTTGTAGGTTTGTGCAACTTGGAGAATATCAATCTCTCTTTTACTTCAGTGAGCGACGGTGGTTTGAGAAAGTTGTCAGGACTGACATCCCTTAGATCACTTAATCTGGATAACCGACTAATCACAGATGCAGGCCTATCATCACTTTCAAGTAAGTCTCTAATTCTGACGCATGAGTTTTTATTTAAAGATCAGAAATGATTTTTTATTTATATTTATGGTCATGGTCTTATAACTTCCCTTTACATGGTCATGTTTATGTAAAAGACCCGATGGTCTCTTCTTCTTCTTCTTCTTCTTCTTTTTGATGTTTAAATTTCCTAAACTGGAGTCTTTTCTGACATCAACAATTTTGGAGTCTTCAAGACTTCAGGTGTCCCTCTTCATTAAAGAAGCATTGTGATTGACGTTAAAATAATACTGGCTTTAGGAGCTTTTGACTTGTATATACTTGACTTTTTCACTCTGGTTTACTTGTTGATTTAGCCTCCTGTTTGTTGTTTGCTTCAAAAATTTCGTCTAATATTGTTTTGTTTCACATATTTTCATGATTGTATGTCTGTTTTCTTTCAAAGTTTTTCCATATACTCTTTTCATCTATTCTTTTAGTGGTTACAAAACTCATTTATCTTTATGAAGTTCAGTATAACCCATTCGTTTATTTTCATTCTCTCATTTTTAGGGAGTCTGATGCTAATGTTAGAATTTATGGGCCTGAGTAAGGACTCACTTATGGATATGTCCAAGTATGTAATTAAATATAATCCAGCGGTTCTTCCTGGAACTTTCGCTATAAAGTTGTTGCATTGATTTATTCCAGTTATTACAGTATCGTGTTCACATATCAGCAAGTTGCAAATCCATATGCACTAGCTTAGAATAAAATATTGGCACAAATATCTTAATCTTACATCATATATTGCACCACACATTCAATTTCTTTTGAATTGTTTTTGAAGTGTCTTTGAGGTCTTCTCCTGTGGTACTTTGTTCTGGAAGAAGAAAATACCTTGATTAGTTTCAGGATTATACTATTATACTCATCAACGATGGTTGTCTAGAGATGGAGTGAAGATGACAAATTTGATCTAGAAATTCTATTAATCGTAGGTTGGAGGGGGAAAAAAGCAACAGGGTCTTATTAACAACAATTTCTTGGTAGAATACTATCAGTCAACAAAGAGAAAGTAGATAATATCTAAATCCAAGAAAGATACTTAATTGTCCTTATTTAGATCCAACATGCGGAAACATTTCCCTGTTTAGACTACTCATGTAAGAAAAACATGCCATAATTTGTATGGGATGTTGCAATACCCGTCCCTGTTTAGCGTGGACAAGAATCTGGGACTGCTCCCACTATCATATCATTCTTGACGAGGATCAATGCTCCACCAGTGTTCTTTCTCATTGTATGGCATGCAGAAGAAATTTAATAAATGTTTTTATGCCTATGATTTAGGATGTGAAGAGTAAAGCTGACATTTCCTTTCATGTGTTGCAGCTCTTACTGGGTTAACTCATCTTGATCTTTTTGGAGCTCGTATAACAGACTCCGGAACAAACTGCTTTCGAAGTAAGTAAACTGATCTTATTACCTACGTGCTTCGTTGGTATTCCTTTGCTATATGCTTAACATCCTTCATACATGTTGCAATGAACAAAAATCCTTAATGGCTAGAAAAACCAACTAATTCATCTGCAAGTGAGTTCCCTCATTTTTTAGTAGATCTTGGATAGGTTCTGGTTCATTCAACTATATACTTCAAGTGAAAACTTTTATTTATGTCATTTCTTGCATAATTTAATACTTTTGATACTTATAAATGCATACTCAAAACAGAAGCATCTTAAGAAATTCTTCATGATGCTTAACCATCAACAAACTGTAAGCCATGCCCACTAGAGTTGAGTCCATGTTTTGCCTTATTTGCAAGATACCAGTGCTGCATATTATCTAACATTTATCACATAGAAGTGTGTATTAAAAGAAAAAAGGTAATTATTTTGTTATTGATTGAAGTTTTTTTTTTGGTGGGGTGGGGGGTTGAAATTATCAGGTTTTAGAAATCTGCGATCACTTGAGATATGTGGTGGATCGATTACTGACAATGGTGTGAAGAACATAAAAGATCTCAAGTCATTGACCCTCTTAAATCTGTCTCAAAATGGCGACCTCACTGATAAGACACTGGAGCTGATTTCTGGTATGAGACTCTTCATGCTGTACAACGGAATTGATTTCAACTGGTGTATTGTTTTATCAGGTTTTAATTTCTGATGTTATCCATCATACAGGATTGACTGCATTGGTTTCTCTGAATGTTTCAAATTCTCGTATAACCAATGCTGGACTTAAGCATCTAAAACCATTGAAGAACCTGAGATCACTATCTCTGGAATCTTGCAAGGTCACTGCTGTTGAGATCAAGAAGCTTCAGCTGGCTGCTCTTCCTAATCTGGTTAATTTTAGACCCGAGTAACTGAAGAGGAATCTGTAAATATGGAAACTAAAATAAATCTGAAGTGTACAGACGTGGTGGTGTGTGTTTTAAGCGTTGAAAACCTTATTGCGGGGAAGCAAATCTCTTGCAGCATAAGAAGTGATGCTAGAAGGAAGTGTAGATATGCTTCCTCTGCGTGTGTGCAGCTGCTCATTATGTCTCAATCCTGTATATATTGTAAATATAGCGTATTGGAAACTACCTATGGGGGATTTAAATACACGTGAAGACCTTTTAAGACGTATCTGATGTTCTTGATTCTGATGGTTAGTAATTATGATCAGAGCATGTTCGGCAACTTAGTCAAAATTGATTGTAATCCATTTTTTAGATTATAGTCCAACTTATTGCATGTTTACTAATAAAAACTTAGTGTGTTATTTTGGACTGTTAAGTGACCAAAAAATATTCTTGAGTTGCTGAAGTTATTTTTTGGGGTTATATACATCCACATGTTTGACAAATTAACTGTTAAAATCTTCCACTTTTGCACTCCCCCTCCCTCTTATTTCCTTCTATCCGAATTTGCAATCCCATTTCGGCCTTGCACCTTGTGTGGGTTTCACCATCCCATTTCGGCCTAGCACCTTGTTTGGGTTTCGCTTGAGTCTTTCTTGTAGTGGTTTTGATCTCATCATTCTTGATCTTGCTTAGCTCTGAGGTCTCGTCTATCTTATTGATTTTGGTTCTCTCACTGAGCTTAGGTCACGTCTTTTGTTTTGATACTTCCTTCTGCCCTTGGTACCAAGCACAAATTTTGTGCTTGGTAGTGAGGTAACACAATATTCTTCACTTATTCAAATGGGGGATCACATTCACATGGGTTGAGGAGTGCATGGGGATATGTAATTATTTGAATGAGTGGAGGGGATTATGCCACCTCACTACCAAGCACAACTTTTTGTGCTTGGTACCAAGCATACCCATTAGTTCTTGTGCACGTGCAATACACGTGGTTAAATATCACAATAATTTTTTTTTTATTTTCTTACTATAAAACAAGTCAGATTCATTTTGAGTTAAAATCAATAAACATGAATTATTACATTTGCCATAAAATTTATTTAAAAATTTTTAAAAAATTTATAAAATAGATGATTAATTTTGAAAATCTCTTGGGGCCAGGAATAAATAACTAACAAGTTTGTAGTGGAAACTAGGGGAACATAGTACATTCTTAAGAATTATTTATCTTTACTTAGTTTGTTTATAATGATATGATGTAAAACCCCGTGAATTTGAATATTATGTGATAAATAGTAATAAATATGTTATATGGTGATAAATAACATATTTTGATGCTTGAGTATACTAGGAATTAATTTGAGATCAATTTAATGTATATATGTGAGTGGAAGAGAGAAACATGCACGAAAATGCACGAAACCAGAAAAATATATGATAAGCCCCTGTTAAGTCGACTTACCATAAGTCGACTTGTCAAGAACGTAAGTTGACTTATATGCTGATTTTTAGGTTTCTTTTAGGTTTCAGGTCATATCCGTTTTGTTTCGATCCCAGGCTTATATATACTCTTTTAAACCCTAATTTCTGCACTTTTCACGTGCGAACACAGCCACCCTCTCCCCTTAAACCCTAGATCCTGTTTTTAGTGTTCCTCGAGGCGTTTGAGAATTGACATCGAGCAGAGGGAGAGAGATCTTAGGCTTTTGTCGAAGAAAAGACATTGCACGCATGTTAGGGAAGTTCAACAGTGGCCTGTGGCAAGATTCTCTTCGTCCAAACCCATCCCCGTAGTTTAACAATACTTTGAAGATGTTTAAAGTGATTTTTACATGTTTAATCATGATCCTACATGATAAAAATTAGATTTTTGATGTTAAATTTTAAACCAATGATAGATCTATAGTTGTTGCTTGTTGTTTATAATAGTTTTATGATTATGATCATTAAGGTAGCTTCTAATTTCTTTTTTAACATGTTAATTATGATTAACTCATGCTTTAACCCTAATTTATAGTTTAATTAAGATACATGTAGGTTAATTATGCTTAAATCCTAGGTTGATGATACCTGAGTAATATATGTATATTTAAACAAATTTTCTACCTCTGTTCATGTTTATAATTAATCATGCTATGATAATCATGTCGGTAATATATGAGTTAATTGAGAAATTTTTGGCTAATCTTGATAAAAGCTTTATGATGGTCTTGTTAAAATCCTCTGCTAAACCATTTGCTGTGGGATTGTAAGCTGTCGATGAGACGTCTTGAATTTTGAATTTCTCACAAAATTTGATAAAGGCGTTACTGACAAACCGGGGCCCATTGTTATGTATGATTCGCCTTGGGACTCTATATCGGTAGATAATATGGTGTTTGATAAACACAATCACGTTGCTCGTCTTTACTTCTTTGAGCGGAATCGCTTCAGCCTATTTGGAGAAGTAATTTGTAATTGCAAGGATGAACCATTCGCCTTTGATGGACGGGGGAAAAATAGGACCAACAATGTCCATTCCCCAAGTTTTGAAAGGCCATGATGTGGTTGAAGGGTGCAGATGCTCCGGGGTTTGGTGCATTAATTTGCGTGTACTTAACACGTATGACACTTTCGTGTGTATGCGACTGCGTCTTTTATCATGGTAGGCCAGAAATATCCCATTTTTCTGATACGGTCATAAAGTTTGGGGCCAGGTTGGTGTGCGCCACAAACTCCTTCGTGTGTTTCCTTGAGGACTTCTTCAGCTTCTTTAGTCGACGGTTCATCTTGGTAGTGACCGATTACTTTTCTAAGTGGGCGGAGGTAATTCCGTTGAAAGAAGTTAAAGCCTTAAACGTGATCAATTTCATCAAACATCACGTCATCTACCATTTTGGTGTACCGAGACGAATAGTCCATAACAATGGAACTCAGTTCGTCAGTCATGGTTTTCAAAGATTCTGCAACAAGTTCAGGATCCAAAGTGTCGCATCGACGACATACTATCCGCCAGCCAATAGCCTTGCAGAAGCGTTCAACAAGACTATTTTGAAGCTTCTCAAGAAGTTTGTCTCCAAGAGTCGTCACGATTGGGATGAAAAAGTTGGCGAATGTTTGTGGGACTACCTCACAATAGTGAAGACCCCTACAAAAGCCACCCATTCTCTTTGGTGTATGGCTATGAAGCCGTATTACCATTGAAAATTCAGATCCCATCTATGAGAGTCGCCCTCGCGACCGGGATGACAGAGGAAAAACAATATCAATTGCGTCTTTAAGAACTTGAAGTATTAGACGATAGGTGACTTCAGGCTCAGTAACAGATCAAGTTATATCATGTTCGAATTTCTATAGCCTACAACAAGAAGGTCAAAGAGCGTATCTTCAAGAAAGGTGATTTGGTCCTATGGTGATGGCGCATAAGACCAAGGGGAAATTCAATCCCAAGTGGGGAGGACCCCTCGTGTAAATCCCCGTAAAATACAGTGAATGAATTTTTTTATTATGAAATATATGTTTATATCATAGATGAATGTGATAACAAGTGTTTGGGGATCAAACGAGTGTATTTATATGAGAAAGATCGAGTGATAAGACCAGCACACAAACAACATACACCAACAGGAGATTTCCTGCGCGGTCGACCGTGGCGGTCGACCGCCGGGCGCGCAGCAGAAGCAAAAAGCTTTTATCTCTTGCGCGGTCGACCGTGACGGTCAACCGTACGTAGTTTTGCTAGTTTTTCTCAGTTCAAGTCTTATTGGGTTTTTTGTCGGGTTTGTGAGCTCATATATATAATATTATATTCGTGAGAGCTTCTTCTTCACCACAGAAAACCCTAGCAGCCTCCTCCTTCCCTCTTGCAAACCCTAACCCCTTCTCCTTAGTGATTTCAGCGGATTTCGAAGAGTTTGAACGGGATCTAGTGGTTTTCGACGTAGGAGGATATTTTCCAGCGTTTTTTAGAGTTGTTCATCATCCCTCAGGCAAGTTTCATCTCGCCCAACCCTATATCCATATTTTTAAATGTTTTAATAATGTTTTTCATGTGATTTGTGAGCTTAACATACTAGATTATGTATAAAAATAGATCTATATATTGTATTTTTGCAAAGAGAATGTGTTTTTAGTTAATAAAGCTCACCCACGAAATTTTTAATATAGATCTAGATCTGAGTTTATTTCTAACAAGAGTTTTGTAAGAAAGATTTTTGTTTTTAAAGATTTCGACACGAAATATACATGTTTAAGATTTGATTCGTTTTATCTATAGTGATTAGACTAAAATTCACATGTTCTAGTTATGCTGAATCACTTATGAAGGATTGATAATGTATATAAACATTGTACGAAAATTTTTGGATCAAACCATGTAGAACAGAAACCTAAACTAGGGTTTTTACTTTTACGCGGTCGACCGTGGCGGTCGACCACATGTCGTGCATAGAAGCAGTAAGCTTCTTCTCTAATCGCTGTTGTGCTTAGGTTTGTATGGCTGGCAAAATATTTGGGTTATATGGGTTTGTTATACACTGAGATTGGTATACATGAGTTGACTTCAGACATGAGTCTTAGATTTATTCACCGGAGCATGAGGGTGAATGGTATATATATGATTTCTAACACTATTTGTATATTACAGTCCTCGTGTTGGACTATAAGCTATCAAGTCCTCGTGTTAGACTATAAACTATTAAAGTTCTCGTGTTGAACTATAAATAATTAAAGTCCTCATGTTGGACTATAATCATCAAAGTCCTCGTGTTAGACTATAATCCACTATAGTCCTCGTGTTGGACTTTAAGCTATTGCAGATCATACTTTGAATATTTATTTATTGCAGACCACGAGTTGGGTATGTAATTAACATATGACAGGTCATTAATATTTTTGTTGAAGATAGAGTTATTACTCCATGTTGTAACTTTTTAACTTGGTATTTAGCTATTTACAATTTGAGCTAAGGGAGGCGTACCTATGCTCGTATTGTAAATTTCTAAACATTAAACTTCTATTTTATTTTTATAGTCGATGTTTGGCTATCTATATATATTATCAGATATTTTCTTATCCTTCTAGCCCTTTTCCCTGGGGTTGGTTGAGATGTTACTCGCTATAACGTTTTGACGCTCGTTGTTTCTCCACTTTCAGGTAACGAGCCAGGTGCACGGAGAATCGTAGCTTGATGGAGTTGTTCTATTTACCATGTTTTTAATTTTTGCTAGTAGTTTATGTCAGAACTCCACAATAGATGTATTTATAAAACATTTGAATTTTTATTCTAGTTTTGTATAGGCAATGTGCCTTAATATCATTTCATTTGA